TATATATATATATATATATATATATATTCTATTATATATAAAACACACACGTATACACCCACCCACCAACCGATGAAAATAAATCCAGACAAGAAAAAAAAACAAAGACAAGAAAAAGCAAAGCCAAGAAAAAAGAAAAAGCAAAGACAAAGACAAAGACAAAGACAGAGACACAGACAAGAAACAGCAAAGACAAAGCCAAGGACAAGAAGAAATACAAAGCCAAAGACAAAGACGAAAAGAAATACAAAGACAAAGACAAAGACAAACCCAAAGACAAAGACAAAGACAAGAAAAGAAGAAATACAAATCCAAAGACAAAGACAAAGCCAAATACAAAGCCAAATCCAAAGACAAGAATAAATACAAAGACAAAGACAAATCCATATCCAAAGCGAAATACAAAGACAAATCCAAAGACAAATCCAAAGACAAAGACAAAGCCAAAGACAAAGCGAAATACAAAGACAAGAATAAATAAAAACACAAATCCAAAGACAAGAATAAATACAAAGACAAAGACAAGAATAAATACAAAGACAAAGACAAGAATAAATACTTGTCTGAGGTGTTTGGTGAGTGCTCGTGTATCTATAGCAGCAAGAGCTGGGACGCCTTGTCTTTGCAGCCAAAGGCCGAGACTCTGCTGCGCCCGCCAGTGGGCGAGAGCAGCAGGCACGTAGTCAGCAGCAAGCAGCGCCCGCACGTGCACACGAGAACCCTCCAGGTGAAGAGGTAAACCCAGGGGGTCCTGGAGAGGTGGGGTTGTTGTTGCAGCAGCAGCAGCAGCAGCAGCAGCGGGAGGAGAGAGGGGAGCAGCAGCAGCAGAAGAAAGGAGAGCAGCAGAGAGATTTTAAAAGAAATGCAGCAGCAGCAGCAGCAGCAGCAGCAACAGCAGCAGCAGAGAGAACAAGCACAGAATGGGAATGAAAGGGCAGAAGGTGATACAGCTGTGGATGCTGCAGCAACAGCAGCAGCAGCAGCAATTATAGCAGCAGTAACAGCAGCAGCAGCAGCAACAGCAGCAGCAACAAAGGCAACAGCAACAGCAACAACAACAGCAGCACCAATGGCAGCAGCAACAGCAGCAGTAACAGCAGCAGCAACAACAGCAACAGCAGCAGCAGCAACGACAGCAACAGCAGCAGCAACAGCAGCAGCAACAGCAGCAGCAACAGCAACAGCAACAGCAACAACAACAGCAACAGCAGCAGCAACAACAACAGCAACAGCAGCAGCAACAGCAGCAGCAGCAGCAGCAGCAACAGCAGCAGCAGCAGCAGCAGCAGCAGGAGCTTACATTCTCGAGCGAGGGTACCCCGTAGTTGCCTACAAGGGGGTAGGTGAGGGTCAGTATCTGCCCAGAGTATGAAGGGTCCGTCAAAGACTCAGGGTAAGCAACCATACCTGCAG